TTTTTGAAGAAATTGTTGTCACACGCAACCACATGGATGAATCTCAAAATAGTTGTACAGAAAGAAAGAAGTGACATTTAAAAAAGAATATAAATTCTAGAAAATGCAAACAAGTTGCCTGGGAATGGGGGGTAGGGAGAATGGCATGGATGATAAAAGAATAGAAGGAAACTTTCAAGGATGATGGATATATTCATTATCTTTATTGTGGTAATTCTTTCACAGATAAATATGTAGTCAAAACTCATCAGATTTTATACAACATGTGTGTGGGTAAGATAGGCAAATAAAAAATTATGGGATGGTAAGGCATTTTAAGGGAAATTGTAGCTTTAAATGCTGTGAGAGAAGAAGGGTTTAAAATCAACGATTAAGACTTCAACTTAAGAAATTAAAATAGAAGAGCAAATTAAAACCAAAGTAAGTAGACAAAAGGACAGAACAAGGAGCAGAATTCAGTGAAATAGAAAACAGACAACAGAAAAATAAAACCAAAGTTAATGACGACTCATTAGCAAGACTGATCAAGAAAAGTGAGCTCATATTATGGCTGAATCTCAACATCATGCTGAGTGAAAGAATCTAGTCACAGAAAAGTACATCCTTGTGATTCCGTTTGTATGAAATTCAAGAACAGGGAGATTGGAGCAGGAGAATCTCTGAGAGGGACCTGGAAAGGGATACAAGGGAAACTTTTGGGGATAATAAAAATATTCTATACATTTATCCCTCAGTATCTATGGGGGATTGGTATCAGAACCCCTCTCCCCCTGCAGAGACCAAAATACACAGATGTTCAAGTCCATTATATGAAATGGCATAGTATTTGCATTTAACTTACACATAGGTTCTTGTACACTTTAAGTCATCTCTAGATTACTTATAATACCTAATACAATGTAAATGCTATGTAGTTATGCTGCTTTGCTTTTTTATTTGTATTATTTTTATTGTTGCACTTTTTATTTTTTATTGTTCTTTTCCAAATATTTTTGATCCTCGGTTGGTTGAATCTACCGATGTGGAGCCCATGGATAAGGAGGGCAGACTATGTATCGATTGAAGTGCTTACACAGATGTTATAACAGCCAAAACTCATCACACACACATAATCTGTGCATGTTTATATGTAAATTAACTCATTAAAAAAATTCACTCAACTCTTCATGTCCCTCCAGCTCTACCCTTTAGCTAAGCATCTTAAAGGAATTATGTATATTCACTGTCTTCATTTCCTCACCTGCATTCATTTTTCATCCCCTTTGAAATTGGCTTCTTCCCTATCACTCTACCAAAACATGTCTGACTAAGGTCACTTATGTTTTGTTAAATCCTACAATTTTTTTTTTAGTTCTCACAGAACTTGACCTCTCAGCGGTATTCAAGACTGTTGACCACTCCTTTTGAAGTACTAGAATCTTCAAGGGTAAGTCTGAGGCCCTTGTTTCTCCCCTCTTCTCACCTATTCTATCTTCCAATCTCTATGTAGACTTCTCCAAGATTTCTCAGAATAACTTCACACTCAACATGTTCTAAAACAGCTCATAATTGTCTTTCCCAAACCTATTCCAGTGTTTCTTATTTCAGCGAATGGCACTATATACTTAGTTTTGAAAAACAGTCAAAAAATCCTCCCTTAGGATTCCCTTTCCCACAAACCCATATCTAGTCCATCACTGAGCCCTAGTGATTTTCCTCCTAAATGTACTTTTTGATACTTGGTTTCTTTCCATTTCTATCACTATCACATTAGTCCAAGCTACACCACTCTCCCTTACACTGCTACTTTTAATTAGTCTATTTGCAACCATTCCAGCCCCCTTCCAAGCAATTCTTTTTGGGTGAAATCCCAAATCCTTAACCATGGTTTAAGGACCTACATGGTTTGACCTCTATTCATGTTTGAAGTCTCACTTTGCACCTCTCCCTTCACATACAACCTTGCCTTTCATTACCATGTCTTCTTTCCTGCCACAGAACCATTTTTACATACTATTCTTTCTGTCCATTGTCTCTCCCTTGGCACATAACTCCTACACATTCAGATCTTAGTTTAGAATTAATTTTTAAAAGGTATATATTGGTTTCGTTAGCTGCTCAGAACACTATGCACTCTTTACTGCATTTATTGCAGCTGCACCTTAGTTTAGTTTGATGGATTACCTAAACTAGATGAATTATCTAGTTTTTGAGTGGGAGAGTCTCACTCTGCCACCCAGGCTGGAGTGCAGTGGCATGATCATGGCTCATCACCACTTTGATCTCCTAGGCTCAGGTGATTTTTTCACCTGAGTAGCTGAGACTACAGACACATACCACTATGCCCGGTTAATTTTTTTATTTTTTGTAGAGACAAGGTCATGCTGTGTAGCCTAGCCTGGTGAAACTCAAGCAATTCTCCCACCTCCACCTCCCCAAGTGCTGGGATTATAAGTGCGAGCCACCATGCCCAGCTAAATTAAATAATTATCTAAATTATCTTAATTTGTTTGTTGGGTTAACTAAACATTCAAATTCACTCCACTATAAGGTACAAGACTACAGGGACCACATCTATTTTTATCATCTTTATAACTCCAAACTCTAGTAAAGGTCTGGCACATACCTACCAGGCCCTTATAAATGTATCTAAGTGAATTAATGAAGCATTATAAATTTTGTTCCTAAATGAAGTAACATGGACTTCAATGTCAGTCCTATTTGTAAGCAGAATTCCAGTTAAACTATTAACTTTCATCATTTTTTCCTTCAGTGTATTCAGAGGCAATTACTATATACCAGGCACTGAGGACATATTAGTGAATAAGACAGGGCCCCTGCACTCATACAGCATCTACTTTAAGCTGACGAACTTTTCATTTCAAATGTTACTCTTACTTTAAAGTCAAATTACTTGTTTCCCAACCTTTGTGGAGAATAAGTTTATTATTTTTTTAAGTAGATATTTAACTTTCTGATGACTATGAGGTAATCTTGTTCTATTTTTGGGAAACCTTACTATTTCCCTGTCATATTTTCTAAAGCATATAGTCCTGAATAATTTTAATTACCTATTAACTATTATTATATGTCTAATCAGAATGAGAAGCAACGTACAAATTAAAATGGAAAAAATATACCTGCTCACAAAAGAAAATTTATATACAGATTGGACTCCACGGAAAAAATTATTGCATATCCCAAAATTGCCCCTCAAAGATATAACTTGGAAACAGGCAAAATAATTGAAAAATTAAAAGCTTAAGACATATACACAGTTTTTCAGAAATCTGAAATAAGTTACATTTAAGAATTCTCATCTCAAATGTCAACTTTATGGTAAATAGTATGTACTGTCTACAGAAAATACTATCTCACTGTGTTTAAACCAGTTACCCATAATGCAGACCTAAGATCAGAAGTTTGTATCCTGAACATATCTAAGTTGTTTTCATAAGGGTTGATGGTTTGATTCTGAGTTGTTCACATGCCAAGTCCTTATTACTTGAATTTTCAAAATGGCTGGCTAGAATAAGGAAGAGTAATCTGTTGTCATGGTAACCATTTTTCTTTCTACTTTCTTAATGTGCATGCTAATACAATATAGAGATCAAATCAACAACCAGAATTAGGAGAAACTGATATGTAGGTGCTTTCTCTTCCTTTTATTTTCTTTAAAATTCCTTTAAAATGCACCAAATTGGAAATAATACTCTGATAATATGCTAATTGCTGGTATGTCTGTAAAGATGACTTCCTGACTTGTTCATTTAATAACTTCTATTAAGAAATCCCAGTTATGCCATCACTGGTAGCCCTTGAACATGAAAACAGCCTGATGGTATAGCATAAATGATCTCACAGATGATATCTGAAAACTCTGTAGTCACTGTGTCACATATTTGCCTCTGTTAAACATACTGGAGGAATATCAAGGTCAGTTTTGTTCTATTCCTGTTAAGTGTTACTAACTTAATTCAAAATGTACTATCTATGTATGCAATGAATGTGGTTCCTAATTTCATTATCCAAGTCATTGTTCAATAACAGTAAGTTCCCTGCCTACAAACCTTCAAGTTGCAAACTCTGAAAGATGCGAACATATCCAATCACATAAGACAGTTCACATGTCTGGTGTACATTGTCACATACATGCAAGGTACTGTACTGTAAGATTTTAAATTATTATATTGGTTTATGCACATATTAAATATTGTCCTAAGGGAGCATTCAGTGGAGTTCACTTATTACCCTTTCAAGTCAACACAGAATCAAAACTAATATTCAGTATTTATGGAAACTACAAAGGGCTATCATGCATATGAGTATTTGAGTCTTCATTTATTCAACAGATATTTAAGGTACCGAGTGCTCACCAAGTGCTAATTCTATGCTAAGCATTGACTAGACACTGGAGACCTGATGGTGATCCTTACAAAAATTCTCTAACAGGTTATCAAAATGTGATTTCAAAACCAGTAGTGTCAGCATCAACTTGGGAGCTATTAAAATTGCAAATTCTCAAGCCTCACTTCAAACCTACTGAATCAGAAACTCTGGGAAGAGAATCCAGCTGTTTTAACAAGCCCTCCAGGTGACTCTGATATATGCTCAAGTTTGAGAACCACTGTCCTGTAAAAAGCCCCTCACATTATATATTAGAAAATTGAGGTTCAAGAGAAGGATATAAAAGACTTGAGACACTAAAGACCCTTTTTCTTCCATTGCCTATTGCCAGAGGTTAGAAAACTATCTGGCATATAATATAGGCACCCAAGAAAATTTATTGGATGAGGAAATGAATGTATCTTCCAAAGAGTTGTGCCATCACCCAATTATGGCAACAGCCAAGCATACCATCCTAACATTGAAAATATATATATTGATAATGAATATATTTATTCTGAAAAGAGAAGTGTTCACCATGATATCAATAGTTATAATTTTAAAACTATTATTTGACTTTCATAAAACAGATTACCAAAGGTGAGCCCTACAAAAACTATCCAATTTTTCCATACCTTGTTATTTTGCCTTAATTTACTTAACTCCAATTTATACTTTTCTGCTTCTTCTAGAGCTCTATTCAAGCGAACCTCTGTGGCACTCTGACTAGTTGCAGCCTGTTTTTGCAGTCTTCTTTTGTTTTCTAATTCCTGTATAGTAAAAAAAGATATGGAACATTTATAAATATAATATAGCCACTATATTATATGCCACTCTTCTTGGCCCAAATTGGTATTAGAAAAATATATCCTAAAACATATAGTCATGAGCTGGGCTTTCAAATTACTTTTTGTTTGTAGTTTTCTGCCTCTTTTTATTGACCCAGAATGCAGTATACTTGTCCTCTCTATATCTTTTATAAGCAACTCTTTATAACTATAGTTCCTTCTTTGGGGAATCTCCCAAAAGACCAACATAAGACACAAACTCTCTTATAATGTTTTTGTGTAGATTTGACAGGTTATATCATTTAAGAAAATATTTGTTAAATACAGAACATTCTGTGTTGCCCTATAGGAAAGTCCCAATTCTGAGCTGAAACAACAGATCTTATGGATCATTTTCCACATCCTGGGGTGGTTTTAGGCCTATATTTCTACAAATATTCTAGGATATTCTGTTGCAAAGAGAGTCAGTGCCTGAAGAAAAACGAACATACAGCATAAATTCCCTACTCCACCATAATCTGGCACTGTCAACCAGTCTAATCTCCTGCCATAGATATTCCTTCCAGCAATACCAGCAGTACTTGGATTGCTCCCAAATAGCCATGGTGACTCCTGCCTGAGTCTTCTCACACCCATCCTCCAGCTCCAATCCCTCCACTCCTCATTTTTACCTGGCTAGGATCTACTTACCTTTTAATACTCAACTAGGGTTGTATCCTAAGGCTTTACCTACCTCCAGGAAGCCTTTCCTCTCACTATTCCCCCAGGTTACATTAAGTACTCTTTCTTCAGAACTTCTATAGCACCTTGATACCCATTTATCCTTATATCTGCTTTGTGGTACTGAAACTATCAATTACCTTTATTTCATCCACTATAGTTTAAGCTCCTTGAGGACAGTCTGTCTTAATTTCTGTGTTCCCAGCACTTTAGTGGCATATAAAAGGTACTAATGGTATGTTTATTAAACTGAACTTATTGTACTTAACCCACTCTTCTTTGTGTCCCCCAATGTAAGGCCTAGTCCAGAGCCTTATACAAAGCAAATACTTAGTAAATATTATATAACAGAAATGACACAGTTAAAAATATAGCTGTCTGTATTCTTTTATTTTTTTCCTGGCTATATCACTACTTTTATTTAAAAACTGATCTCCCTGGCTTTGAGTAATTAAGGGAAAACAAAACAAAACACATGCTGCTCTTTATGTAGGTTTCTAAACAAATCAAACTGTGTATGGATACCATCTGCTATCACAGCCTTCTTCACAGCTTTGTGGGTGGTAGCTCCAGGAAGAGCTAGCCTGATTTATCTCACTGTTCACATAGAAAAGGCAAAGATTCTCATTAGCTGCAAAGTCCACATTCCTTGCTGCCTCATTTCAGCCTCTCCTCATAAGAATGGAAATGAATCTTTGCCCTTCTCTTGCCTGCTGGAGACTTTGTAACCTGCTTCACAGAAGAATGAAAACCATCCTTCACTACATGATGTTCCCCATCCATGAATCAATACTGCCCCCTTTTTGGGATGCATGAAAAAGAAAAAAGATAGCCAAAAGAGTATTAAAGTAGGAAATAAAGTTTTTGTATATGAGTATATTCACTAAAGAAAGGGAAAACCTTACCAAAACTGTGAAAACATTTGTTTTCATACTTAAGTAACTTTTACTAAGTGCCAACAAGATACCAATATTGTTATGAAAGAGATTTCATCCTGAAAAAAGTCAATAAAGTAAATCTATTGTTACAAAAAATTAGGCAGTTTGCATGCTGCTAGACAAAAATTTTATGAAAAATCTGAAGTCCTGAATTTTGCATTAGTTTTAAGAGAAAAAAAGCCAGGTGAAGAAAATCAAATTTCACATTAAAACTCAAATACTGTGAGCTTCAAAAGGAAATACTTTACCATTTTCTCATAATTTTTAAAGCATTCATATAAGGCACTGCAGGCAGAAAAGAGAGGGTCATGTATCAGCCACAGCACAAGACAAAATGTAGTAAATGCTGCATCAGTCACACAAAATGCTATAGTCATCCAGATAAGAAATAGGTACGAAATAAATGCATGAGAAATGATTGTATCAGGTTCCAGAAACAAGTAAAGTGGAAAAGAATGGACTTGGGAGTCAGAAACATGCCAGCTGTGGTAGACTCTTTCCATATTCGAAATTGAGACTATTATTATCCATACCTATCAGGTTTCACTCATTTATTCAACACATTTCTCAAGCACTTATTACGCGCCAGGTGCCTCCCTTTATGAAGTTTGCATTCTAGAAGAAGAGAAAGATGACAAACACTTACATACATATACACATATATGTATCTGGTAATGATAAGGGTGAGCAAGAAAAATAAAGGGACAAGGCAACGAGGGAAGGGAATAATTTTTTAAAATAAAGTGGTGAGGGAATGTCTTTCAAATGATGTAAGGGAATGATTCAAGTCAAAATCTTAGGGAAAGAATTCCACAGTAGGAACAATGAAGACAAAGACCCTGAGGCAGGAATCCACTTACATATTCCAAACCCATCTAGACGGTCAGTGTGGTTTCAGCTGAATGACACAGGCAAAATGTTAGGTCTTGAGATAAGGAGAACTGGGCAGGGAGAGATGAGGTGGACCTTGTAAATTCTACTTATAAACTTGGATTTTATTCTGAGTGATACAGGAAAACTTTAGAGACTTTTAAGAGTATGTGTGAGAGATGATCTGATTTAAATTTTACAAAGATTACTCTGCTTACTCTGGTATTACCAACCTAGGAGGTTACTGGACTAGTTTAAATAAAATATAGTGGCTTGAGGATGGGTAAAAGTAATGAGTGTTTTGAGAAATGGTTAATTGTATTTATTTTGAAGGCAGAATTGACAGGACTTGTTGATGGGCTAGATGGATATGTAGGGGAAGAGAAGAATCAAGATGACTCTTGAATTTTGGACTGAAAAAATGGTTGATGTATTTTTCTGAGAGGGGAAGAAGGAGAAGAAGCAGGTTTGCTGAGGACAGAGAAGCAAAAGCTTCCTTTAGGACATGTGAAGTTTAACATACCATGCAGAGTTATCAAGTGGGCACAAAGGAAGAACAAGAAATAGAAATGTGGGAATGATCAACATATAGATAGTATATAAAGCCATGGAAATGAATGATATCATCTAAGGAGTAGACATAGACAGAGAAGAGAGCCAAGATTGATCTTAGGGCACTCCAATAAGTAAAGCTAGGAAAATGAGGAAGAAAATCATGAGTGCGGTACTCCAAAAGCCAAATAAATATGGTTTCAAGGAAGGAGTAATAAACTATGTCAGATATCTCTGAGATACAAATTAGTATGAGGAACTACAATGTAGACTACTGGTAATCTTTTTAAGGATGGTTTTAGGTGCTGAAAAGAAAAAAACAAACAGCCCCATTACAAAGTGGGCAAAAGATATGAATAGACACTTCTCAAAAGAAGAACATACGAACAGCCAACAGATACATGAAAAAATGCTCAGCCTCACTAGTCATCAAAGAAATGCAAATTAAAATCACACCGAGATACCTCCTAACTCCAGTCAGGATGGCCATCATCAATAACTCAGAAAACAACAGATGCTGGAGAGGATGTGGCAAAAAGGGCTGTTGGTGGGAGTGTAAACTAGTACAGCCTCTTTGGAAAACAGTACAGCGATTCCTAAAAGATCTAAAAATCAACCTTCCATACAACCCTGCAATCCCCCTCCTGGGGATATACCTTGATCACTCTATGAAAAAGATAACTGCACACATATGTTTATTGCAGTATTATTCACAATAGCAAAAACACAGAACCAACCATGCTGCACACTGAAAGAGGAATGGATTAAAAAACATCTGGTAGGCCGGGTTCGGTGACTCAGTCTGTAATCCCAGCACTTTGGGAGGCCGAGGCTAGTGGACTGCCTGAGCCTGTGAGTTCGAGACCAGCCCGGGCAACTTGACGAGATCTCGTCTCTACAATAATTTTTTTTTAAATGTGGTACATATACATGATGGAATATTACGCAGCCATAAAGAAGGACAAAATTATGAACTTCGCAGCAACTTGGATGGACTTACAGTCTATAATACTGAGTGGTCTATCACAAAAACAACTGAGTACCACATGTTCTCACTCACAAGTGGACCTTGGACAATTATTATAATACTATAAGAAAGAGACTGGCTATTGAGTGATCTATCACAGAAACAAAGAACTGAGTATCACATGTTCTCACTCATAAGCAGACTTTGAACAATTATTGTAATATTATAAGAAAAGTAGTAATAGTGGAAAACTGCTGGTGAGGAGGAGAGAGATTGGCAGTAGTGGGAAACTGCCAGCGAAGCGGGAGGCATAACTCATCAACAAGGGTACCTATATAATGAACATTTGTATACCTAACCTTGAATTGTACCCCACATCTTTAAAATAAAATTTTTTTTTTAAAAAGAATGCTTTCAGTGGCAAAGTAGAGATGGGAGCCCATCTGAAGTAGCTTCAGGAGAGAATGGCAAATGAATAGAGACACTGAATATAGACAACTATTCTGAGAAGCTTTACTATAGAGAGGACCAATGATAGAGGGCTGAAGGAAGATGTGAGATCTAAAGAGGTTTTTAAATATATATATATATATTGGAGATTCTGTGGCATATTTGTATACTAATGAGAATAATCTGATAGAGCCAATTTGATTTTGCAACAGAAAGAGAGGATAACTGCTGTTGCGAAGTCCTTGAGTAGAATAGTGTATAGAATCCAGTGCATAAGTGATCAGCTTTAGACAGGAGAGAGAGAAATTTATTTAATGTGGGGGGAAGGTGGTATAGAGGGAAAGATACAGATTTAGTGATAGGATGATACAGTTATGTTTTAATTCTATTTTCTTAATGAAGTAGGGGACAAAGTCATGAACTAATAATGTGAAGGTTGGAATGGGAGTTGGAAAGTTGAGGAAAAATACTCATCTCTGAAAGTGGGTTTAATAATCATCTCTGAAAGTGGGGAGGCAAATTGACTTCTTAGAAACTGGGAGTAGAAAATGCAGTATGCTTGAGATTTGTAAATAAATTTAAAGTAAGATTGTATAAAATAAATGAGAGAAGAGACAAATTATCAGTATCAAGAATGATAGAGGGGCCATTACTACAGGTCATACAGGCATTATAAATATATTAAAGAAATATATGGACAAATTTATGCCAATAAATTTGACTACTTAGATGAAGTTGTCAAAGTATTTGAAAAACGTAAGTTGCCAAGCTGATTGAAAAAGTAACAGAAAATCAAAATTAACTTATATTTATTAAACATATTGAATTATTAAGCTCCTTCCATAAAGAAAACTTCAGTGCACATGGTTTCACCTATGAATTATATCAAACATAAAGGTCACTGTAATAGAATAGAGCCCCAAACAGACTCACACATATATAGTCAAATTATTTTTCTATACAAGTACCAGGATAACTAAATTGGGAAAAAATAGAATTTACTAGCTGTATAAAAAACAAAATAAACCTTGACTCTTACCCTCATGCACACACAAAATAAACCTCAAACAGATCATAGGTCAATTTACATATGATATTGAGAGAAAGAGAGAGAGAAATACATACAACATACATACTTTAAACTTTCTGGAATAAATCAAGAGAAAATTCTTATGACCTTAGAGTGGGAAAAAAATTCTTGGACAGCATGAAAAAAAGCACATACCACAAGAAAATACTATTTTGGAATTCATCACAATTTAACACACATTGTAAAGAAAATAAAGCCAAGTCAGATTGGGAGAAACTATTCACAATACATATTCTTCTAACAATAAGACCTAGAAGCCAGACATGGTGGCTCACACCAGTAATCCCCGCATTTTGGAAGGCTGAGGTGGAAGACTGCTAGAGCCCAGTAGTTTAAAACCAGTCTAGGCAACATAGCAAGACCTCATCTCCACAAAAAATAAAAAAATAAAAGGTGGATGTGGCTGTGCACACCTGTAGTCCCAGTTACTCGGGAGGCAGATGTTGAAGGACAGCCTGAGCCCAGAAGGTCAAGGCTGTAATGAGCCATAACTGTGCCATTACTCTACATTTTGGGCAACAGAATGAGAACCCCAACTCCAAACAAACTCCCCCCCCCAAAATTCCATTCCTATGTATTTAGTATATGCAATAACATGTGTGCACACAAAATACTTGTACATGGAAATTTATTAATGGCTTTATTTCTAATAGTTCAAAACTGGGGGGAAAAGTGAATGCCACATCAATTAATGATCAGATAAACAAAACCTGGTATATCCATAAATAAATACTATTCAGCAATGCAGGGAAATGAACCACAAGCATGTAACAACATTAATGAATCTCAAAAACATGATGCTGAACAAAAATAGCCACACATACAAAAGTACATATTTATAATTACATCTGTATGGAATTTTAGAAAAGGAAAAACTAATCTGTAGTGAAAGAATGCACATCAGTAGTTGCCTAGGGCCAGTGGTTAAAGGTTAGAGACTTATGGGACAGAGGTACAAAGAAAATTTTGGAAGGGTAATAGCATTGTCTTTATCTTGATTATGGTGGTGATAATGAGGGTATATTAATTTGTCAAAACTCATTGAATTATATGCTTTAATCAAGTGTATCCTATTGTATTTGAGCCATAATTCAATAAAATTCTTTTTTTTTTTTTTTTTTTGAGTTGGAGTCTCACTCTGTCGCCCAGACTGGAGTGCAGGGCTGCTCCCAGCCACCGCAGCCTCGACCTGCTGGGCTCCGGCGATCCTTCCGCCACAGCCTTCTGAGTAGCCGGAATTACAGGCATGTGCTACCACGCCCAGCTGATTTTTTGATTTATTACAGAGATGAGGTCTCACTGTCCAGGCGGGTCTCGAACCCACGGGCTCAGGCAAGCCACTCACCTCAGCCTCCCAAAGGCGCGGGATTACAGGCTGAGCCACCAAGCCCGGCTAAAATTCATTTTTAAAGAGATCATTGGCAGAAACACAAAATGCAGCGATAAAATAAAATGCTTTCTGCTTTCATACTTTTAAATAAGTTAATATACATAATAACTTTTAGAATAGTTGACTTTTGCAGGTTTAAAAAAAGTAGGTTCATTAAACTTGAGTTCTGTCTGGCATATCTGTAAACTGTACCTTGTGAGTTATTTGTATAGAGATACAAAATGAATTAGAAGAGAAAGATTCAATCTTGAGTTCCACATAAACCATGAGAATTATTATGCTTATCTGGTTGGGGAGATAGGGATCTAAGCTGGGAAGTTCAGAGTCAACTGAAGTTGTTTTTTGGTTTTTTTTTGAGTTGGCGTCTTACTCCGTCGCCCAGACAGGAGTGCCCAGACTGGAGTGCAGTGGCCGCTCCCGGCCACCACAGCCTCGACCTGCTGGGCTCCAGCAATCCTTCCACCTCAGCCTTCCAAGTAGCTGGAACTACAGGCGCGTGATACCACGCCTGGCTAATTTTTGATTTATTGTAGAGATGAGGTCTCGCCAAGTTGCCCACATGGGTCACGAACCCGCGGGCTAAGGCAATTCACTCACCTCAGCCTCCCAAAGGAGCGGGATTACAGGCTGAGCCTGATTACACCGAGCCTGGTTCTCAACTGAAGTTTTTATAAAAACCTTCAGATAGCCAATATGTCAAAACTATTCACAATGATTGTGAACTAGAAGTTTCCAGTATTTAACTCTAAACAGCAGTGAGATTTTGGAATAGCTAGTGTTTATGTCCATTTAATTTTAGGGGGTTGGGGAAAGAGTCTACATGATTTGTGGAAAGAACATAGACTTTGGAGTCAAATAAACATGGTTAGAATCCTGCTCTGCCACTACCTGAACATATGAATACAGGTATCTTTTTTACTGGTTGATAGAAACTCCAGTTTTTGAAATGGGCAAAGGATCTCAACAGACATTTCTCCAAAGAAGATATATAAATGCCAATAAGTACATGAAAAGATATTTGGCATTAGTTGAATCACTAGTTACTAGGAAAACGCAAGTCAAAACCACAATGAGGTAATCCTTCACACCAGTAAGATGGCTACAATAAAAAAAGATAATCTAGCAATTGTTGGTGAGGCTGTGGAGAAATTGGAACCCTCTTACACTGTTGATAGGAATGTAAAATAGTGCAGCAGGTTTGGAAACAGCAGTTCCTCAAAAGGTTAAATAAAGGTTTTCATATAACCCAAGTATTCTATTCTATTCCTAGGTGTATATTACCAAAAGAAATAAACACATATGTCCATATGAAAACTTGTAGATGAAGTTGTAGCAGCATTATTTAAAATAGCCAAACAGTGGAACCATCACAAATGTCTATCAAATGATAATTAGAAATATTAAATGTTATATCTAAATCTGCCAATAAAAAGAAATGAAGTCCTGATAGGTGCCACAACATGGATTAACACTGAAAACATTATGTTAAATATTAAAAGTCAGTCACAAAAGGCTATATATTGTGTGATTCCATGTATATGAAATTTCCGGAACAGACAAATCTATTGAGACAAAATAAATTAGTGATTGCCTAGGGTTGCAAAGAATTAGGTGAGGAGGGTTGGGGGATTGGGATGTAGTGGCTAAAGGGAGGCCGAGGCAAGAGGATTGCCTGAGTCCGCGGGTTTGAGACCAGCCTGGGCAACTTGGCAAAACCTCGTCTCTACAAATCAAAAATTAGCGCACCTGTAGTTCTGACTGCTTGGAAGGCTGAGGCAGAAGGATCGCCGGGGCCCAGCAGGTTGACACTGGGGTGGCAGTAAGCATGCTGCTGCACTCCAGCCTGGGCAACGGAGTGAGACTCCAAGTCAAAAACAACAAACAAACGAAAAAAAACCTCTATATAAGGAGAAACAGTTTTCAGTAAATACTAATAAGATAACTGAACAACCAAAAGTGGTGTCTACACAAATGTGCAACTTTAGTATATTTTATTTTATCTTGGGCATTGTTAGGGAAAATAGCAAAATAATTCCTATTTCGGAACACTTTCTACACTGTTGGCAGGAAGTGCAAACTAGTTCTGCCTCTTTGGAAAACAGTATGGCGATTTCTAAAAGAACTAGAAATTGATCTTCCATACCATCCAGCAATCACCCTACTAGGAATATATCCAAAAGAACTCAAATAATTCTACAAAAAAGATACCTACACATGCATGTTTATTGCAGCACTATTCAAAATAGCAAAAACATTGAACCAAATGTGCTACCCATAGAAAGTAGACTGGATTAAAAAAAAAAATGTGGTACATATGCATGATGGAATATTATGCAGCCATAAAGGACAAAATTATGGACTTTGCAGCAACTTGGATGGATCTAGAGTCAATCATACCCAGTGATCTATCACAGAAACAAAGAACTGAGTACCACATGCTCTCACTCATAAGTGGACCCTGAATACCTATACTACAAGAAAGGAATTGGCAGTAGTGGGATACTGCCAGGGGAGGGAAGGAAGGAACATACAACACAATAAGGGTGCATGACCCCAATCCAGGCAAAGTGAGGTCCAATGGGAGGCCCAAACTTCACCTGTACGTAAACCACTTATGTGCCCAATCCTGACTTGTACCCCACATCTTTAAAATAAAAATAATAATAATTACCCTTTCTACTGAAGACAATTGTTGCTGTAATCCATCACATTTTTTGTTTGCTTCTTCAAAAAGAGTTTTATATTTTTCTATTTGAGACTGTTGCATATTAATTGTTCGCTGTTGTCTCATACAATCTTCTTCAAAATTTTTTACTTGAGACTTTAAATCCTGAATCTCATCTTCCTACAGTCATAAAATCATAGTATATGTGGAAAATGTACAAGATTTGGTATCAAACATAAAGCAGAAAACAAAAAGAAGCTTCATATGTCCTTTGATGAGATATTTATACACATTTCATGAAGAAAAAACAAATTACATACCATTTCATCTTCAGAAATGGAAGTCAGATGTTTTATTTGCATTTAATAGCTTGTACTTATAAGTCTAATATAAAGAATTCTGATTGTAACAAGTATTTAAAATTCTTTAACTCTGAAAATTCAATGTCTCAGAATAAATTTCAGTTTTTATAAACAATTTTTAAATTCAAATTTTAACTATGAATTATACCTAAATAAAGCTACTCAAAAAATGTATTGAAATCATTCCTAAAATGTCTTTGAATATTAGAACATTAGGTTTTAAAAGCGTACCTTCTTATTGCATTCACATACAACATTATCCAATTCTTCCTGCATAACATGGAGTTTGGCCTTTAGAAATCTGATCTGTGCTTCTGTGGATTTAAATATATTTACTGTCTTTTGCTGTCTCAAAGATACCATCAGTTGTAAGACCATTATCTTATAATGAAAAAAATGCTCAAGATGAAGAATCTATTAGGGGATACCTGTTAAGGGACACTAAAGGCACTAAATACTCCTAATGTTAAGATAAATGGCATATAACTTGACTCAACAGAAAGGGACGGCAGGGAACTATTCACATCTCAACAATGGAACTGAGTAAAGAAAAGAGGAGGAAACAAAACAACCACTACCTCTCCTGAGAATCTGAAACACAAGCCAGTACTCACATAAGTTTGCAGATTGAATTCATACTCACCAGGGTAGTCCAAACTACATCAGAGAATTAAAAGTAGTCTCAGATCAGTAATATCCCCCAAGCGTTTGGCAAAAACAAACACAAATCCATTCTAGCAAAACTCAGCTTAAATCCCAGCCACTGTGATAATAAAATGACATTGACTGTAACATACATTCCAATTTCTTGTGGTTTGTTTTTGTTTGTTCTTTGGTTTTTTGAGTCAGTCTCACTCTGTCGTCCTGATTGGAATACAGTGGCACGATCATGGCTCGCCACAGCCTCCACCTCCTAAGTTCATGTGAACCTTCTACCTCTGCTTCCCAAGTAGCTGGAACTACAGGTGCACACCACCATGGCTGCCTAATTTTCCGTATTTTTTGTAGAGATGAGATCTCATTATGTTGCCCAGGCTGGTCTCAAGTGATCCTCCTGCCTCAGCCTCCCAAAGTACGGGGTTTACAGGCGTGAATAACTGCTCTCAGCCCATATTCCAATTTCTGAGTTTAAATGTAGTACATGTGTTTTAGAAGCAAAGAAATACATTAATATGTTACTGTCAAAGCTTTCTCCCATAAACCTTTATTAAGATCTATCTTTGGTACTTCACTGCCAGCACAAGTTATTCAAAACAGCAATAAATCTTTGAGGTTAATAGGCCCATAAAGCGAATAAAGTGAAACAACTTAGAACTCACTCATAATTCATTCAGTCATTTATTCAAACAATATAAAGTTTTTACTATGTTCTAGGAATAGTAGGGACATTATAAAACAAGCCTTGCCTTCATAAAGCTTATCTTGAGGAAACACCCAGAATTGGTCTGAGAAGTCATTAGGAAAAAAATCCCACTAAGCCATACACATGTGATGTGCAAAGCACAAAACATCTCCATCCATACTTCCTGCTCTTCTTAAACACTGCCCTCAGTGTTACCATGAAGCTGATGAACTACGGTTGGCTGTAACCCTACCTAGATTTCTCTGGCATCAATACTCCTTCCAGCCTCTAATGTAACTCCAGTTGAGCAGGAGATAGAAAATGACAAAAGGTGGGAAGCTGGTAATAGTTGGTTTCTGAGGGAAAGAATGGTAGGGCATGACTTTTCACATTTCCTTCTCTTAAGGAGCTGGCTTCTCTCATATCTGGAGACCCACAGCACTAACTGCTCCCTACCTCCTACCTCAGCTTTAATCTTACAAAGCAGTCTGTGCTCCCAAACTACTCCTTGCTCTTTTTTTCTCACATATTACCCAATCATTCCAAGCAATATTCTAGAATAAGAGAAAATTCTCCCAAAAGGGGAGACACCTAGGCCAAAAATACTAAAAAGGGAAGACAAGGAGGCAAATAAAAGAGTGCTGATTTAATAATAAGAAAAAAAGTAACATTTAAGGAAAAGTATGTATGTCCTTGTTCCCTGTATCTGAGAGCAGGAACATTATAATAGGGCCATGGGACCATGTTCCTTTACTGAGGAACAATCAATGTATGCCATGATCTTAAGAGAGACCTAAAGGCAATCTACTAATTCATTAACTAATTCATGTATACTCAGTTGTTTCAATAGTGTAGGTAGCATCTCATAAACACAACAATTTTAGAAGCATTACTGGTAACTAATGTAACATTTTTAGATAATCTAAACTTAGTATTATCATTTTTCTAGTGATATGCAAAGGATGAGTTAATAAGAAGAAAAATTATATTCATTAGAAAACTCATTTGATTATTTTACTTCATGCTACATCTATAATTCATTTATGCCTTCACGTGTGTTGATTTAACATGCAATAAATAAAATATAGTAGCATTAAGTGAAAGGAATTCAGAGAAACTTTTTTATTTTAATGTTTTAATAATAAGCAGTGAGGCATTTTAAGTTTAAATCTATTCAATGAAATCAGTATAATATAGTCTTTTTTAGTTTTACTTTTTACAATGGAAAATATAAAATATATTCAAAAGTAGGCTAGTTCAATGAACTCTCATTACATGCATCCTATCTTTAACAATTACTGACTGATGGCCAATTTTATTTCATCTACAATTCCATCCATTTTTTTCCACCACCACATCCTACCACATAATTCTGAAACAAATTCAAGACATCACAATACATTTTTTAAATGTAAGAAATAGCTCCTAAAGATCTCTTTTTCTAAGTAAATGTGCTATAAAGATAAAAATAGCAAAGGAAAACCCACCTGCTCCAATGTCATTACTAACACCAGAGAAAAGATCATCATCTCTGTATTCATGTAAGCCTTTTTCCTCCAGTTGCCCTTCAATTTTGCTAATTGTTTTTGCAAGAGAAAAGTCTGAGAAATCCTCTGGAATGGCAACATCATCGGCAGTTTGTACATGAGAGTATTTCAATTTAACACTGAAGAGTAAAAATTCAATATATATGTATACACACTCATGAACATACACATACGAGGGAGAATCCCCCGAACCAGAATTTATTAAAAATTGTGTATTTATTATTACATGTTTAAACTTCAGTCACCTTCAAAGTACTCTCTGTTTAATGTAATACACCTATTAAGACATTTTTCCCATTGCTCAAAATGGTTTTGGAACTCATCAATGTTGATACCTTTTAGCACTTCTGTTTTTTGTTTCACCTCTTCTACCTCAGCAAAAAGTTTCCCTTCAAGGACTTTTTCCATCCCAAGAAACAAAAAGTCATCTGGCAAGACTGGGTGAGTAGGGAGGGTGGGGCACAGAGGTCAAAAACTGTTTTGGTCAAAAACTGCTGAACACTCAGCACAGCATGGGCTGGTGCACTGGTCAATCACTCATCATGAAATGGGAAAACATGTTGAAAGAAATCTCAGAAAAAAAAATTCAGTAAAGCTGAATGCAGCCTCTCCCAACAATGTTAGCTGGTACACTGATGCTGATGGGTTCCTAGAACACTTACCTAGCAGGGGAAGCCTACACTACCAAGGGGTCTGCCCTCCAAAAGATAATTCTGGTTTTTGGGGGCATCCCCCCTCATATACACACATATAAACAAAAGGTAGAAAGGAAATATGGCTTTTACTCAAATGAAAAAGTAAATCAAAATTATAAATTTAAATTTTTGATGAAATCTGCAAATGATAGTTTCAAGGACTATAATACAAGAGACTTTGTAACTTTTCAGTCTTTATGAATCATATAACCACAGAACTAAAGAAGGCTTTATAAGGCTAGTTTGTCTGGACTTTGCTCCAAATAAGTGAAATCTAAAACCAAGAGTACTGAACTTAGCCTCCTAAGTCAAACCCAGCCTGTAGCTTTTAAATGTATATGCCTTTGGAGAAGAACAGCACACGCTGACATTGTCTTGGCCACAATTCTGCAAACAACAAAGGGTAATACCTCTTAAGAATTAGAGTGAATGGCTATTAGTTCACGCAAACTCAGCATTTTTTTCCATCCAAAGAAACACATTTGGCCGGGTTCAGTGGTTCAGCCAACCCAGCACTTTGAGAGGCCAAGGTGAGTGGATTGCCTGAGCCCGTGGGTTCGAAACCAGCCCAGGCAACTAGGCGAGACCTTGTCTCTACAAGAAATTAAAAAAAAAAAAAAAAAAATTAGCTGGACACGGTTGTGTGTTCCTGTGTAGTTCTGGCTACCTAGAAGGCTGAGGCGGAAGGATAGCTGGAGTCCAGCAGGTCGATGCTGGGGTGGCAATGAGCATGCCACTACACTCCAGCCAGGGTGACGGAGTGAGATTCTAACACACATACACAAAAAATGAAACACACTCTTACCAGGGTCAAAGTTAACCAAAAAGTTATTTTTTTAATGAAGTGGGGAAGAAGTATGAAATAAAACTCACTTCTAAAGGCACTGAGGGATGGGCCACGCCTAACCTGCTACACATCAAGTTTATGATTCCAAAATCATAACTTACTTTTAAAACATAAGCAAAGGCTTCAGAATTCTGTCTGAAAAAACAATCTTTTCTTTAAAAAGAAATTGTGAAGTCTGAAAACAAGATAACCTTTTCCAATTATATATGTATCTGCATATGTATGTAGCATATGCTCTTTTCTTCTATTTTATATTTATTTTCCTTATCTATTCACTCCATTTTTTCCTACCTTTTATTTAAAACAAAAGTTTATTTAAATAATTAAAAGACACAATGAGCCGGGCTCGGTGGCTCAGCCTGTAATCCCGCGCCTTTGGGAGGCTGAAGTGAGTGGATTGCCTGAGCCCGCAGGTTCGAGACCCGCCTGGGCAGCGAGACCTCATCTCTACAATAAATCAAAAAATCAGCCGGGTGTGGTAGCACATGCCTGTAATCCTGGCTACTTGGAAGGCTGAGGTGGAAGGATCGCCGGAGCCCAGCAGGTCGAGGCTGTGGTGGTCGGGACCGGCCACTGCACTCTAGTCTGGGCGAGAGTGAGACTCCAACTCAGGAAAAAAAAAAAAAGACACAATAATTAAAAAAAAATTTTCCAGAATCATAATTATCAGTGTTGGTAAGTAACAGACACAGTAATGTAATAACTTACTGAGAATAAGAAGCTGGCTGGTGCAACCCACTCCTCCTCCTTTTCTAGAAAGCCTCCTATCCTAGACAGCCTCTTGGGCCCCTTTTTATGCTTATAATACTAAGGACAGTCTTGAATTACTTCTCACTAAAAACAGAATGTTAATTATAATTAATACTATAATCCTATTCAGAGCACACCAAATCATTCTGTATCTTAATATACACACAATGATGTATGGCCTCTGGTTAAATATTCAAAAACTAGAAGCTTTTTAAAAAAAACTTTTTTTCTAGCCGGGCATGGTAGCACACGCCTGTAGTTCCGGCTACTTGGAAGGCTGAGGCGGAAGGATGGCTGGAGCCCAGCAGGTTGAGGCTGCGGTGGCCGGGAGCAGCCACTGTGCTCCAGTCTGGGCGACAGACTGAGACTCCAACTCAAAAAAAAAACCAACTTTTTTTCATTTTTTAAAAAACTACTTAGTCTATTTGAGAGAATCAGGCGGAGACAAAAAACCTAGGTTCTATTCCCAGTTCTAAGAAAATATCTTGCTAAAAATAACATTTTTAAAATGTGAAATCTGATGATTTTGCTAAGGAGAAAAACAGTATAAAATGTTCATTGCATTCACTGCTGCAAAACATTTCTGAGTGAAAATGTTCTAAGTTACTGGATGTCAATGATATATATGCAGTGTAAGTTTATATGTTTGGGGTTTAAAAAAAAAAATCAGGTCAGGCACGGTGGCTCAAGCCTGTAATCCCAGCACTTTGGGAGGCCCAGGCAAGAGGATTGCCTGAGCCCAGGAGTTCGAGATCAGCCTGGACAACTTGGTGAGACCTCGTCTCTATCATATGTCAAAAAAAAAATTAGCCAGGCATGGTGGTAGCACACACCTGTAGTTCCAGCTACTTGAAAGGCTGAGGCGGAAGGATGACTGGAGCCCAGCAGGTCGATGCTGGTGTGGCCATGAGTGTGCCACTGCACTCCAGCCTGGTGATGGAGTGGGACTATAACTCAAAAAAAAAAAAAAAAGAAACACATTCTTACCAGACTAAAAACAAAAAATTTGCAGAAACAGAAAGAGCTTGATAAGAATGATGTTAAAGTAAATTACAAACTAAAAAGATAGATACTTTTAAAGTGATACCATACCTTGAATCTGTTTTCCTCCCTTTATTTGCAGAATGTAGTTTATTTTGAACCTTGTCTGCAGGACCAATGTTTTTTATCTTTGGCTACATAAAAAGAATTGAAACTATTGATTAATTAGAGTCTAATCATTTGTCAAAGAAAGCAATTCTGAAGCACATGAAATTGCTATTTTGCTACACAAAAGAACTGCTATTTTCATAGAATTACTCAAATTGTATTTTCAAGAATCTCAGAACTGTACAGCTGTAAAAGCCTTAAATATCACCCAAACCAAGATATTTAAGGATAAGGAAAATGGGTCCCAAAGATTCAAGAATATTTAGCTAGCTAATGGAATGTTAAATCTGGATGTTCCGACTCACAGAATTTTGTTCTCCTCACTAACCAATTAATCCCCAGGCAGGCATTCCCTGGCCTTCAGATGTACAGTTCTCTTCGCTTAGATCTCTATGGGTGGGAAACTTGTAGATCCCAGTATGCCCAGCACCTGGAAGAGTGATCTCTATACTGTAAATATTTAAAGAATGAGCAAACCTTTCATGTCACCTTTTTTGTATATGAGTACCATTCTTTTTTAGGTCTTTTCTCTACTACAATTAAGCTTTGGAGAAAAAAGTGAAAAGTTTCAGGTTATAAACTCATTTCACTTAGAATTTTTTCACTGCATCTTCAAATTATTCAGTGAAATTATGCAACAACAAAGGCTTCTATTTATTTTATGAACATTTCAAAAATGCATCCCTTCTGAGTATAAAGGTTTATGTTCTATTTCTATTGAGTCATATCTCTTCTCTGTTTTGTCTAAGAAAAAACTAAAAAATATAACCTAAGTTCTACAGAATGTAATTGCATTCACAGAAAGTTTGATTCCATACCTTAGTTTCTGAATGAAGATGAACTATTCCTTCAGATGATAATAGACCTCTACAAACCAAAAATAAGCATTATACATTAATAATAGATGACACTGAGCTGAGACAATGGAATTCAACAGTAATTATATTTGAAAGGGAAACTATCCAACAATCAAGTAGACTTTGCTATAATTCCAGTTATCCACAGGCTAATTTACTTTGAATGAGTATCATAAACAAGAAAAGTGCTTTGGTTAAATGATTCACCTTTGAGAAGATATAAAATGCCACTATTTCTGTAGGAAAAGGTAGCAAACATTTTAGTGAATGGAAATAATGAGGAGTGATTACTGGGTACACACAGCAATTATCCATTTTACAAAATGATTCACACTGTAGGGCTTTTTATTGTGAGCCAACTCAACATTACCATTCTTCTGATACACTTAAATACTTGGTCTGTGTCTGTTTTCCCCCATTACACTGTGAACTGTATGAAGGTAAAAACAATGCTGTGTTCACTGCTCTGTGCCCAATACTTGGCATGGTATCTAGTATATACGCTCTTAAATTGGCACTAAATAAATATTTGTTAAATGAAAGAATACACCTAAAATGCAATTCATTTTCATGAACAAAGTATCAAAATTTGTTTGCAGTTTAAAACAAGGAGTGTTTATGGGGGTCTGCAAACTATTGTACGTGGGCTAAATTCACCCACACCCATCATTTACATGTTGCTGTTTTCACACTGCAACTTCAATGTTAAGTAATGGCAGTAGTGACTATAGAGCCCACAAATTCAAAAAATATTTACTATTTGGCCCTTTATAGAAAAAATTTTTCTAAACCTGATCAATTGTGTTAAGCATCTGTATTCATATCTCTGAAAATGCATCATGTTAGCATCTATTGTTGCTATGAAAAAAACGCTACCATATCCCCTGAGAACTCCTAACCATCATAGAGGACATAAAAATAAAATTACTTTCCATCAGATGCACCTACTGCATAGATTTTTTTTCAGTATTAGACATAAAGATATAGTCAGAAAATATTACATACAACTTCTCAAAGAACTACTATAAATACTGCTGGGAAGGAAAAACAAGGTTTTCAAAATATCTTAAAATTACAGAGACTAAAGAATCATTCTCATGTATGACATGAAAATATTTCCAAATATGATGGAAATGTTGTGTCCTCTTCAATCTCCCTCATTTTAAATTAATGTTTGCCATTTCCCCAGTACATTTTCTGCACCTTTCATGCCACCCCCGCCACACACATACCTGTCAGCCAAAGTCATTCAATGGTTATCTGTCTCCCTCAGGTTTCACAGTAATATTACTTTGTTAGAGAATGTCCATGAAAAAATGAACTATAACATTATTCTGCTTACTTTTGTTAAGCTTCTCCATGAAAGATATGTTTGTAATCTGATTAAAATGATTTGTGTGGTAAACCTTGCTTTAAGCAGATGGGAGGATATGTATGAGGGGGGATTGAAAAAAAATGAAATTTATTTATAAAAAATTGTGTATTTATTCTTACATGTTTAAAATTCAGTCACCTTCAAGCTACCCTCTGTCTGATGCAATACATCTATCAAGATGCTTTTTCCATTGCTCAAAACAGTTTTTGAACTTGTCAATTTTGATGCCTCTTAGTGCTCCTGCCACTTTTTGTTTCACATTCTTCCTCACAGGTAAAACGTCTCCCTCTGAGGACTTTTTTCATCCAGGGAAACAAAAAGCAGTTGCTTGAGGTCAGGTGATAGGGAGGGTAGGGCACAGGGGTTATGCAGTTTTGGGCCAAAAACTGTTGAACACTCAGCACAGTATGGGCAAGTGTGCTCCTAAATCACCCATCATGAAATGGGCAAATACTTGAAAGAATCTTCAAAAAAAAAAAAAATTAACTGAAGCCAAATGCAGCCTCTCACAACACTAGCTGGTACCTGACATCAATGGGTTCCCAGAACACTTACCCAATGAGGGAAGCCTGTATTTCGAGGGGCCTGCCCTCCAAAAGATAATTCCAGTTTTTTGGTAGTCCCCCCACATACTACATTATTAGGAAATTAAATCTGATTTCCCCACCGTATTTTTTTTTTGACAGAATAACCCTGGAAGTTGAAGACATATTATAAATATTCTGCCTAACTATAATTAAGTCAATGAATTCTCATTGTTCCAACCTGAAATGGTTTCTTTACAGAATTATCTCCTGTCTTCAAAAATTCCCAACTAATAGTCAAATGCCATGTTTCACATGATAAAAGCCATCTGTTCAAACAGTAGTATTAAAAAAAATCCATCCAATCTAGGTAGAGACGTCATCCCCACTTTGCACTTAAGGAAAATTTAGTTTAACAACAGATTTATTTTTATACTTATAAAGTCAGTCTCTCACTTGCCTCAACAGAAACTAAGGCTCATCTGTTGTTAGCATAATTTGGATCCTTTGGTTTACTGGATAAAAGCCATGCTTAATCTTATTTGTAATTCAAATTCTGGAATTTTGATAACTGTTAAATATCTTTTTTCATAAAATATCACAGAGCATTACATATAATAAAGACAAGTAATTTCATGTCACAGATACACATACATATGTATATCAAATGATGATGTAAAGATATATTTTTTAATGGATGCACCAAAAAAATTAAAAAGCAGCACACTAAGCACTAACTTCTTGGGAGCAGAATCAAATATGTATACTCACCATTGTACTACCAGTAGCTAGACCTGGCACTGTGTTCAAAAATTATTTTTTTCAGGCTTATTGAGATACAATCTATATATGATAAAAATATATTCTTTTTAAGTATACAATTCAATATATTCTAACAAACCTGTATAGTCACATAGTCACCACAATAACCAAGATAAAGAATATCCCATCATCTCAAAAAGCTCCCTGGTGCTCCTTGGTAGTTAGTCTCAAAACCCTTACCCCAAGCCCTAGACAACCACTAATCTGATTTCTGTCCCTACCGTTTTGCCTTTTCCAGAATGTCATATAAGTAGAAACATAGATTCTATGTACATTTCTGAATCTGGCTTCTTGCACTTATATTTTTGTTCTATCAGTAGTTCACTGCTTTTTATTGCCAAGTAGTATTCCATTGCATGGATATGCCATAATTTGTTTATCCAGTCATTTGATGGATATTTGTTTCCAGTTTTTGCTACTTATGAATAAAACTTTCCCAAATATTTGCATGCAGGTTTTTTCTTGGACAAATGTCATCAATTCTCTTGGATAAATACCTAGGAGGGAAAATACTAGATTGTATATAATAGTTATTTTTGAATAAATGAATAATATCCCAATATTTCAAGTATGAGCCAAATAACCTGCCACTTCAGAAATACGCTTCTGTTTTGTTTCTAAGCTCTTTAAGGTGTTTAAACATTTTAACTTCTTAGGGTTGTGTTCTTGATCATAGAAGACTAGGGGGAACCCATAGCTGTTTGAAGATTTTAAAAACCACAAACAATTTTAGTCCATTCTTAAAGTTTCTTTGCTGGTATAACTTTCTCAAAAACTAATGAGTTTTTCACCTATTTAATTCTAGTCAGTTCTACATGCCACTACCAAACCCACAATTCTTTCTAAAACGAATTATTTACTTTCTTTACTTTACCCTGACCTTCTCTCTTTCTCAACTTAAAAATGGATTACGTTAAGGTTGTCAAGTTTCTAAGGAATAGTAGACTGTCTTTAGTAAGGTCTTTGTTTTGAGTCATTTTATTCAGTGAAAAGTTGTACTATGTGCTTTTTAAATCAGATCCTAGTCCTGGGAAACCTTAATCCATTGGAAAGTTTTATCAGTGGTCATGTAGGTCATACAGTTAGTCTTCTCTTTGCCTCAAGGTTGAGTTTTAATAGGCTTTTTTCCTCAAATATTTTCTCAGGTTTATCTCATAATCTTTGAGGTCTAAAAAAGAAGCTGACTCGACAACTCTACCAAAAAGGGTAATCGTGACAGTGTGGTATTGGCATAAGGATAGATCAATGGAAAAGAATGGAGTCCAAAAATAAAACCATTTGTCTATGGTCAACTTATTTTTGACAAGAGTGCCAAGACCATGCAATGGGGAAAGAATATTCTTCTCAACAAATGGTGCCAAGACAAATTTATATCCACGTGCAAAAAAATGCAGATTGACTCTTTCCTCATACCATGTACAAAAATTAACTCAAAATGGATCAAAGAACCTGAATGTACGAGTTAAAACAATAGAGCACTTCAAAGAAATCAAAGTTATAAATCTTCATGACTTTGAATTAGATAATCAAGTATTCCCTTTCATTTCTGCTTGCAAACCAGCCAATTCTTTTCCAAACTATTTAATGTGCATTCCAACCTCTTCTCCTAAAGTACAGGTTCATTGGACACCTGTTTTGCCTCCCAATTTACCACAGATGACAGTTTTACTAAATCCATTGCCACTACATAACATTAATCCTTTATCTTTTCAGCCTCCAATATCAGTTTCCTTGCTGACTACCGCCTAACTGCTAAGCTAATGCCACACTTATTATTTTATATATTGCATTATCCTTCTTCAAATTATAGATTTTCAGTTGTTGCATGCAAAAAGATTTTATATAGTAAAAGAATTACATACATTGTTTTAAAAATGGTGCTTGAGAATTTAAGTCACTTACCTTAAATTGTAATCATCTTTCTCTTCATATGATTTAATTTGTGTTGAAATAGGCCTAGATCGCAGCTCTTGCTGATCTCTCTGGTTAAATAAGTAAAGATAAGTCATATATAATACAGGAAAAAAACAAAAAACTAAGATATAGTCAAGTGCTTCTCTGACCATTAATCAATTCAGGGTTGTCCAAGATTTCTGTGGCATAAAGACACAGAATTCTATATGCCATGGTAGGAAAATAAGGCCTATAATATTGCAACTTCACCTTTTATCTGTTCTGGGTTAAGAGAGTTTATCCTAAGGAGAAAATGTAAGAATGTCAAGGTTTTTGTATAATATTTCTAACTCCTACTACATTAGAATCTTATATAGCATACAGTGAAAATTAGAAAGAGGCACAAGAAATGAAAAAAAAATCCACTTAACGAATAGAAAAACTTGGCTCAAATCAGGTAAAACTTCAATGCTAAGACCATGAAGATGCTAAAACTGAAATGCCAGGAGTAAAAGCTGTTGGCAACGATAGTTCAAGAAATGAAAGTAAGAAAACCAAAATTCAATATGGCAAAAGGTATATTCTGTTAACTTGTATGGGGGTAAGAATCCTCTCTCCCCTTTCCTAGCCCTTATCAGCTGTCCATTCTGTTCTTATTTTGGGGGCAGGGAGGTTCTTTTCAAGGAACTCGTTAAGCAGAATACACAGTAAGTTTCTCATTCTTCTATAATGTGGGATCCTTTTGCACAAAGTATTTTCCTGCTCTTCAGACACCAACAAAAACTAAAAGCTGGAATACAAATATTTTTAGCAAAACATTTAATTACAAGTGCAAGCAGCAAATCTAAATATATTATTTGAAATGTTATCTATGATATATTTCTTATTCCTAAACTAACAAATGATTATGAATTTGTGTAAGAAATGAAAATAAAATACTGCATAGGTTTCCTTTCCTGCCTCCATCAACTTCATTTTTGGGGTGGGAAGACTGAAAGGAAAAATTATGATTCAATTATGGTAACAACTGATAAAAGTTTGAAAGCAGTTTCTTTACTCCTCTGAGAAAAGATACTCTATCCTATTAATTAACCATGGGAATGCAGATGCTTAAGGAGAGAGGCTTAAAGTAGGAATACCCAATTTGGCACCAGAATGGGGAATAATATGCTTCGATATGTTATTCTGATGGGTTAGCCTCACTGTACTTCCCCTGACTATACATATGACTGTAGTCTAGCCCTAAGAATTTGAGTTACATTCAACTGAAGAATTTAAAAAACAAATTATCATCTGAATATTAGTGATGATTGTTCTCTTGTTCTGTTTTATTCAGTTTTCAGCTAAAGACCATTTTATTTCTATCACTACTGAATTATCAGTGTTAATTCTATATACTCTCAAATATTATTCTTATAGTACTAGGAAAGTTTATTAAATATGAATGTTTTTATTAATTAGGTGTCTGGCACATCTAAATGGAAAACACTTTTTCAGTGGCTTTTAGAAACATATATGTACATACATATATCTCTATATCTGCATGTATATTAATGCTCAGTTTGTAATAATTCATTGAGCCAAACATTTATGCTTTGGGTACTTTTTTTGTATATATGTTATACATCAAATCAAACAGTTAAAAAACTAGCATTTACAAGGAATTATTAATCATCATCCATGTACATACTATTACTTCCTCAGCTTGTCGAACCAGGTCAGCAGTTTTGGCCTCCAATTCTGCATTCAAACGCCTTTAAGTGAAAATAAGTTATTAACTGGAATATACTGAAGATTCTAACAGAAATAAAAATAATTAAGCTTCAACAGATATACTTTAGCAAGCAAATCTGATCAGCAAATGGCATTCTTACTCTAAAATGAACACAGCCATTAGAATTTATCCCCAACTTCCCATGATTCCTCCTTCCTTGTGGTAGGAACTGAAATACTAAGCACTAGCCTTTCTGTGACCCATTACTCACCTCACGTGAAGTGATTTATCTGATTAAAACATTTGGGAAGAATAAAATGAGTGAGTTCAACTCTGCTCCACTAATCATCCTCTTGGGATTAGCTTACCTTCAGGGAATACAAGTTCTAACCTTGCTTCTCCAGACAGACCCTGCTCTAATTGAGGGCAGGAGTGGGCAGGGTGTAGGAAGACCTGCTCTGGTTTGGGTTGTTGCTGTGTCTGGGAGCTAAATCTGGGATTCAGTGAGCAGACCCAATGTGGCTCTTAACTCAGCTATACACTTTAATATCAGTTTCCTCAGAAATAAAGGTGACTATTTTGGCTGGGCGTAGTGGCTCAAGTCTGTAATCCCAGCACTTTGGGAGGCCAAGGCGAGAGGATTGCCTGAGTCCAAGTGTTCGTGACCAGCCTGGGCAATTTGGTGAGACCTTGTCTCTATGATAAATCAAAAAAGGAGTCAGGTGTGGTGGTGCACACCTGTAGTTCCAGCTATTTGGAAGGCTGAGGTGGAAGGATCGCCTGAGCCCAGCAGGCAGGTCGAGGCTGCGGTGGCCATGAGCATGCCATTGCACTTCAGCCTGGGTGACAGAATGAGACTCTAACTTTAAAAAAAAAGTGACTATTTTGACTTCTGTCACTCCTTTTTTTATTATTATTTTTCATTCTATTTAAAATCTAGCAAAGAATATGAATATTATTTGCTTGGCCCCATCAATACTGCAAGAACAACAATATCACTTAATGAAATTGTTATTAAAGGAAAAATTGTTTATAATCCTACCACCATCATCCAGTGATTTTTATTTTTAATATTCCCTTAACATTTTCTTCTATAACATATACACAGTTTTGTACTGTTTTCCCACAGCAATATGAAAAGAATATGTTTATTTCCGTTAATCTTTATAATTAGCACCTTAAATGGCTAGAAAATACTCCAATAATTATAGTTAACATAGTGTACTAAACTCTGTCCCTATTGCTAGTTTAATTTCCCTTTTCACTTTTAAAGGTTAACACTAAAATAAACATTTTCAAAAGCATATAACTTTTTTCTCCTATTGAAATGTCACATTTCTAGACTATCTCTTTTGAGGTTATATGAAGTAGATATACTAAGGAATTTTTTAAATGAGATGTCTTGTTTGTTTTTCTTAGATATGTGACTCAGAAGTAACATAAACTACTTATAATCCCCACCCCAAAGAGAAAAAGGGAGATAGCAGTACCATATCCTTTCTTAAAACAGCCTAATGTTCTAAGAAATATTTTTATATCTTATGATTGTCTAATCAAAAGAAAAATATCCAAGAAGGAATTAAAGTTGCGTTTAAGGTGCCATTACCTGATTTTTCAAATTTCCCTAACAAGAATCACAAAAACTTAAATAGAAGCTTCCAATCTATAGTAAACCAAGATGAAAAGACTATTTTACTCCAAATCCATGAAAATGCCTGATAGAATGTAGCGAAGGAAATATTGCTAACTTCAAACTCAGGTAAGGAAAATGTCCTGGTACTAAGAATAAAGCAGCAATTAAAAGTGAGAGCAGTAAACAGAAACAGAAGCCAAAGTAGCTTAAAAGCTAGAAGCTGATGCACATGTGAGTCATGAAAGGGTACACCTGTGAAACACAGACAACAAAACCTCTTCCCATAACCTTAGGTGAGCAGAAATGAAGCTACAGCCATGGGTGGAAAAGATTCTTTTGTGAGTAATTAGAACACACAGGAGTGAAGTCTAAATTTGTCTTATCCAGATGGTACAGAGACACTATGCCAAAGCTTTAATAAAGAAGAAAGCTGGCCTGAAATCAGCGAAAACTAAACTAGTAAAGGTAAATTCAAAATCACCCTACAGGGATATTTACTAGTCTAGATCATATGGGACTCTTTCAGAAAGCAAACCCTGCTAAAGATGACTTCAAAAAAATAAATTGCATTTTAAAAAACCACTAACAGGGAGAATTAGCAGATGGGAGAAATTGGAATAGTTGTTCCCTAAGAACTACAGATAATATAACAATCTAAAAAAAATTTTAATTAGCATTTTTAATTTGAAAAAAATAGAAAACACTAGGCAAGACTCAGAAGTTATAACAAAAGAACACTGAATTTTAAAAAGATCCAAATAGAAATTTAAAAAAAGAAAATCACAGTCAATTAAATTAAAAACTCAGTGGATATGTTGAGCAAAACAATGGATGAAGAAGGAACAAATGAATTAGATGACAGGAGAAAATCACCTACAAGGAGGTACAGAGAAACACGATAAAACAAAAACACAAAAGAGAGGTTAATATCCACAGACTATATGATAAAGACAGATGTTATTTACTTACTATAGCAGAAGCTGTAGAAGGAAATCTCAGAAAGGAGCAAGTATCAATATTTGAAGACATAATGCTGAGAATTTTCCACATTAAAGAAAGACATAGCTCTCAAGCAGAATAAAGAAAAAAAATTCACATTCATATGTATAAATCAGAGTGAAACTGCAGCATGTTACAGATAAAGAAAATACTCTTTGAACTACCAAATCGTTATTTTAAAAGAATGGAGAAAAATAGTCTACCAGAATGATTACCTAAAATACTGACAGCAGATGGCTCATTAACATCTCTAGATGCCAACAGACAATGAAAAGGTATCTTAATGGGCTGAGAAGGAAAAACTGGCCATCTAGAATTGTGTTCAGATAAACTGTCTTTGAAGAATAATTGCAAAGTAACAAAATTTTCAGAAAAGACTGGAGAGTTTAAGACTCAGATTGTCACAGAAAGAAGTAATGAAGAGTCTATACTTCAAGAAGGAGGAAATGAACCTGTAATAAAAGAATCATGAAGATATCAAAAAGCATACTAAATAAAGTAGTACAGACTATAAAAAGAGCACTGATGATCAGCTGCGTGTGGGTGTATTCAAAAAAACAAAGTAAAATATCACCTAACTTGAAAGAGGAAAACCAAGTTAAAGCTTACTAAGGTCTTTCCAAGCCAGTAAAAATAAAGACACAATGAAAACCCATTCAATCCAACAGAACACTGACAAGAACCAAACAAATGACACAGTAAGTAGAAAACATGAAAAATAAGATGGCTAAGACAATTTCAAATTATGTACTAATATAAATAAAATTCATTTATTAAAAGGTACACTGGTTATAAAAGGAATGTTCACATTACTAAAAGACATAGAAAGTTTGAAAATAAAGGAATGAAAAAAGATATAACAGACCCTGTATAATAATGAAAGAAATCGAGAAGACTTAAATCAACCAAATAATGTAGCCCCAAACAAAAATGGCCACAATCATAAGGAAAAATTTTTAAAACTATAATTATAATTGATGATCTTAATATACTTAATAAACTTTAGTGCTAAATTATTGGTTAATCTAGCACTAAAAAAATGGTGAGGATATTGATGTCATGGACAACAAATAAAATTAGCATAGTCTAACAGATTAGCCAACAAATGAAATACTTTCTATCAAAGAACACATAGAACATTTATAAAAATTGAACACATACTTGGCCACAAATAAATCTCAATGCATATTTTTAAAATTTGGTATCATATAAATTATCTGACCATAATGCAATTAAAAATAAGTTGAAAAATAATAACTAACCAGTAAACAACCAACACTATGTGCTTGGAAACTAAAAACACACTCCTAAATAATCTATATGAAAACAGTAAAATATTTAGAGCTAAAGAACCACAAAAGTTTATCAATATAATTACTAGAATATAAGTAAGCTAAAAGTTGGAGAGAAATTTACTGACTTAAATGTATTTATTTAAAAATAAGTAAAACAAAATAAATGAGGTCAAAAACTAAAAAAAGAAATAAATCCACCACAATTCAAAGAGATCATTTCTCTCTCTTCATTTCTATAAAGATTCAAAACAGCATAGATAAGCAAGAAAACCCAAGCTAATTCTCTGAATAGACCACCAAAATGGGTAAATCTCCCAAGGAAAGTTCAACAGGAAAAGAAAGATAAAATAAGCAATACTGGAAAGCCATCAAAAGAAGGAGGGTACAGGGTTACAGACACAATCAAGATTTAAAACATAAGAGAACAGAGCAAATTTATGCTAATACATTTTTTAAAGACATGAAATACACACTCTTCTAGAAAACAATCAATATCCAAAATTTAACATAAAATTATTCCTAGCAATCTTGACAGAAAAGATGAAAATAAATAATACTGGAAAACTATCAAAAGAAGGGGTATAAATGATTACAGATACAATTAAGATTTAAAGCATAAGAGTATGGAGTAAATTTACGCTAATACATTTTAAAACATACATAACACTTTTCTAGAAAATTATCAATAACCAAAAATTATTCTAGAAGCAACAGTACCTCTAAATACATAATCATTAAAGAAACTGAATTCATAGGCAAAAATAATTGCCTTTACATAAAAACTCTAGACTCAGTTTCACAATTTTAATCAAAGGGAAGATAATTCCTGATTATAAATAGCTTCCAAGAAAAGAAACAAAACAGGAAAACTGTTTGATTTAATATAGCTAGAATAATACTGATATCAAAATCAGAAAGGAAAAGAACTAGAAAAAGGCATAACACCAATCTCACTTTTGCTAACAGATGCAAAAAAACTGCCATAATAGAGACAGAGACCACACTGGAACAAACTTTCCATGAAATCATTCAAGAAAACTTTCCTTATCTAATCAGTGATGCAAAAATTCAAACACAAGAGATTCAGAGAACCCCTGCAAGACAACAACTGAG